CGAAACATGATCATATTTACGCAGGTTGAAGACGAATCGAATGCAGTTATTCAGAAGTCGGTCAAGTTTGTTGAGGAAATCTGCATTCAGGTCGAAGTACCACACATCAGCATAATCGACAATAGGGAAAACCAAAGCCTGCACCAACATAGCCTTCGTAGCGGGAGGAAGTAAGTTTTTTTTTAATTGGAATAAAAATCCTACCTAAGTCACCCCATATCCTGACTGACAAATTTCATCAAAATCCGTTCAGTAGTTTCAGCGTAGACTGCCTCGATGGCCGATTGGTTGCAAGTGCGACTGCCGGGCAAGGGATCTCGGGTTCGAATCACAGGTTGGGCAAAGTATTACTGGGTTTAAAAAAAATCTCAGTGGTAGCACGGAGACTGCAATAGTGCCCGTTATATGGCAATAGGCTCACCCCCTATTAAATGGTACTCATAATATTTATAGTGGAAAGTGGGTGGTGGTAGTCGGTGTTGCATTATACAGTGGCATTAAGTGCCGTAATGTGCACCTCTGTCTCCGTTCGGGGATAATAAAGGCGTGATGTTATGTAGTTTCGTGTGACTGCGTGATTGACAGACAAACATCCAAACAAAGAAACCTTCACATTTATAATATTAGTATAATGTTAGTCAGAAGTTCTTACCACAATAAGAAATGAGACGATTTTTCAAATAATTATTAGAATTATTAAATTGAAGTTTGAAAATTCAGAAGAAATGTGCCAAGTTTTTTTTTATGGCATAGTCCGGTAAACGAGCAGACGGATCACTTGATAGTAATCAATCGGCGTCACCCATGGACACCTGTAACACTAGAGGCGTTACAAGTGCGTTACCGGCCTTTTGGGGAATTAGGAGTTTGAGGATCGTTGGGAATTCAGGAATTGGGGAGATTAGGGCAGGCGAGGGTAATTGGACCTCCGGTAACCTCGCTCACACGACGAAACACAACGCAAGCGTTTCTTCACGTCGGTTTTCTGTGAGGCCGTGGTATCACTCCAGTCGAGCCGGCCCATTCGTGCCGAAGCATGGTTCGCCCACACAAGTTTTTGACAGTAGGAATATTTGTAATTTTTTTTTTTTTTTTTCTAGAAAAACGTGTTTTTTTTTTTTTTTTTTTTATGGCATAAGCCGGTAAACGAGCAGACGGATCACCTGATGGTAAGCAATCGGCGTCGCCCATGGACACCTGGAACACCAGAGGCGTTACAAGTGCGTCACCGGCTTTTTGGGGATTAGGAGTTTGAGGTTCGTTGGGGATTCAGGGATTGGGGAGATTGAGGAAGGGGAAGGTAATTGGGCCTCCGGTAACCTCACTCACACGACGAAACACAACGCAAGCGTTGTTTCACGTCGGTTTTCTGTGAGGCCGTGGTATCACTCCGGTCGAGCCGGCCCATTCGTGCCGAAGCATGGCTCTCCCACACTTAGAAATTTTTACTTCTACTTCTTCAAGAAATAAGAGGCTCGATTTTATGATATTATTCTTAGTTTATTTTCAAGGAATACATACAAAGTAACCATACAAACAAAATGCCATTTACCTCAACTTAGATTACAATGTAAACTTCTTCGTCTATAAAAAGAAATTAATAGCTCAATTCACAATGAGATACAAAATTCATGAAGCATGGTTCCACAAATTCATTGTTTATTAAAATAAAGGTGGTTTTCCAACGCTCTTTCGCTGGCATCCATTTTTAATGCGCCATGATAGGCCAAGATACGCAATCAGTTTACATTTTGTTTTAATTCAAAATTTTAATGAAGTGCAATGTTATTGAAGTATCGTTAATGAGTTTCACGGACACACCATAATATTAATATCATTAGTGGACAGTCTACTGTTGGACTATGGTCCGTATCTACATAAAAGAGTTTTGCCATACTCTTCACTCTTAGCAGACGGATTGAATATTGCAGTTTAAAAATTTTAGGTTTATCAATAGAACCTACCATATCTTTGCTCATCAAAAGGTGCAAAGGTGGGATGAGGTATTTTTTGACCAATCACAGCAGCTGTCAAATATTTAACATCTAATAGCGTGACAAAAGCTAATTTCCTATTGGACGAAGAACGAAAGTGTGAGCAAAAATGCGGTAGGCCCCATTAAATGTGCTGTTTCTTATTCTGGTTTTATTACACACGCGAAACAAGAGAAGTGACACACCAAATGTATTCTGCTCTGGTTGTCACCACATTGTAAGCGTTTTGTAGGAATGCTGAATTTTAATGCAGTGCAAGGCAACGTTGCCTCGTTAGCCGAATGGTCGCAGGTGCGACTGCCGGGTAAGGGGTCTCAGGCTCGATTCCATGGTCGGTCAAAGTATTACTGGGTTTTCAAAAAAAATCTCAATAGTAGCATGGAGTCTGGAAATGTGCCCGATATGGCAATAGGTTCACTCCCTTTTACATGGGACTCATAATAGGCTATTCTCCAAATGTTTGCATAATATCTGATTATTAAGTATAATTTTTATTTCAGCAAAATATGACCGCTTTATGCCGAAAAACAAATATCAAAAACTTTGTCGTAAAATATATGCGCCAAAACACGAACCGCCATTTTGGTGACATCAGTACCTACTATGAAAATATTGAAACGTCAAATAGCCAAACCATTGATTTTGTAAATAAGTTGGTTGCGTTGTGATTTTGTTGTATTTATAAAATAAAGATGAGTTTCAATAACCCGTATCGTTGGTGTGTTGCGTTAAATTTCAAGAATCCTACATTAAAATTTTATTTATTAAACACAAAAAGTATTTAAAAATTGGCTTGACAATAATGCTATAGATTACTATAGAATATGTTGACACTTCCGACGTCACTCTCGAGAAAATCATGGCGGACGCCGTTTTCAGTCACGTGACATACAGATAATAAAACTTTGATTTTAACTTCGAAATTTAAAATTAATCCTATGTTTTTATAGAATAACACCATTTTTTTTAATTCCTCACGTTTTAAACTATACAAATAAGAACGTTATAATTTATTGTTGATAGATGAGAATACCCTATATTAATAGTGAAAGGTGGATGTTACATTGTAGAGGTATAGTACCATTAAGCGCCGTAATGTGCACCTCTGTATACCCCATTGTTGATAAAAGGCGTGATGTTACGTTATGTTGTTGCAATGCAACGAGGTTTTCGATAATGAGGTTTTCCTATAGCTTGATAATCATTTCGCCAATATTTTGTAGGGATGGTCTACACTGTGAAAGTTTCCATTAATCCATTTACTTTAATTACTAGAACCTAGTTGATAGTAGTGTAATTTCGTTGGCTGTGGAAAGTTTAGGATCATTATTGATAATGGTCTATCATTAGATTACAGACAGTATTTTTCAGTATGGTTACTATTTGTCGTCTGGACAATACTCAACTGATTGTATATTAACTTTACTTTTGATAACTGAAAGGATACACATTCACTTTAATTGAATGGTGCCGTGGCACAAACACTCAGTAAACTCATTGGAATTTCAATAATTCTAAAAACGTTTCAAGTATCATGTAGCTTTTGAAAATATATTCGATTAATTTTTGTGTAAAAAATAAATATTAACAAAAGTCAGGTAACTACTTATTTTATTTTAATTTGTCGAACTCGAACTTAAACTCAAAAAAGCATTCACCATAATTTGGTCCTTTTGAAACGTCAACAAATATAAAATAAATGATGTCCAATGATAAACTACTTTTAGTTGGATCGTGTTGTTTCAAGTACCTAAGTTGTTCCACTACCTCTTTAGTTAACCCTGCAGTGTTCGAGAGTAGGTACTTGTACGTTTGTAACTCGAAACTTAGGCAAGATGTACATCACATGTGTAAATTTTGGAAATAAGTTATTTGCTTGATGATTTTGTTAACTTTATTAGATATACTTAAAGCCACAATAATTTTCTTTTCTTTGACGTTAAACGTAATAATTTGGATCAGCCAAGAATAAAACACGAGACTCTTTGCGAAGAATATTTTCTCGCATTACGTTTTTTTATGGGATAAGCCAGTAAACGAGCGAGGATCGCCTTATTGTAAGCAATTGGCGCCGATGAACACCCGGAACACTAGAGGCGTTACAAGTGCGTTACCGGCCTTATTTTCAGTCTTAAAACATCAGCACATGTGCGATCCAAATACATCACAATTAAAACTCTTTTTTCGTAAAAATAGGAACGTTTTTATACAGCCTTTTTCCTCTTTACATTTTAATACAATCGAGTAGGGTACCTCTTTACATTCAGAGGAGGTTGTGTTCAAAAAGGCTTAAGGGCCGCATAATATTGAATAGGCAAAAATAGTACTTGACCTTATTCTGTACTCTGGGGTTTTGGGTGGGATTTTGCGTTGAAGGATTAAAAAATGTTACCTATGAAGATCATGTAAATATTTAAAAATATGTTTTAAACCTATGTAAAAGTTTATATACAAATAATTTTTGATTAGCGGAACAAATAAATAACAAAAGCTGATTATGTTTGAGAAGTGATACAAGTCGATTTATCACTATTATGACTCATGGGGAATTTTTGTAATAAGGTTAGGAGTCACATGTGACTAAATTTTTGATGGAATTTTGGGGACAATGTGGGCAACCATTATGCTGATCACCACGCCAATATTTAATTTTTGCTATAGTATTATGAACTATTATTTATTAGTATTGTTAGTTCATACCATGCGATCCTTGTTTCTGATAGGGAAAAATTTTTGTACAAATTGATATTGTATACCCTCAACATTACATGCTGATGTTACTATGAATGAATTTTGACGGCACTAGGCGATATTGTCTCTAAGAGACCAATTCCCTAAAAATTTTGATTTTTTTTTTGTTTAACCGTCTGCAGCTGACGTGTAGTCCCACAGACACCGCGAAATACAAAATCACGTGTTATACCGTCATTTTTCAAATATGAGCGTCACTGCTGCGAGTACCTTACTGTATAGTGCTCGCGCGTCGGTCAGTCAGGTCAGGGGGGTCGCAGCGAGCGCACGTGTGCGTAGCGGAGGGAAGGTGTCCACGAGACTACCACGTCAGCGTTAAGGTAAGTGTCCACGAGATTACCACCTCAGTGAAATGGTTATATCTTCATAGTGTCTCCTAAACAACCACGTCAGTCATTGAGTTTCAATAATTTATTATTTCATGTTATTTTCCAATTTTCATAAACTATTATATCTATACTTATACTACTTACAATTAGGACAGATTTCTACTTTTGTTTGTAATCAATTAACTTGAATACAAAGCCGTTTATTTAACATACAAACAACATAACAATACATAATAATGTTATCTCTGAGTAACACAGGTTACAGGAAACAATATCTATACAGCACCCGCGTGTGCTTAAGTCGTGCTAGAAAACTAACAGTATTTAACTTGTTTTTAGATGGATATCTCAAGTGACACCCCTAAACCAAGAACTTCTGCTCGTAAGAGAACACCGGCTGGAACTTTTGTAAGCCATGAAGAGAAAATATTAAACTGGCTGGAAGAGGAAAGTGACGAAGGCTTTAGTGGTATTGATGATGAAGATGGAGATCCAAGTTTCGAGCCTGAAATCCAACGTGATGAAGATGACGTAATTTCACGTGAAGAAGATTCAGAGTCAATCTTGGAAGTGCAACAAGAACCTGTTGTGGAGGTTGAACGTCAACAATCATCAGACGAGTCACAAGAACACTACACAGGTAAAAACGGTTTTATTTGGAGTGCACAAGAGCGTCGTGAAAATGAGGAGAGGAACTTTTTTGTTGAATATGGCCAGAGACTTAGTGCTGGATCATATGAAAAACCGAGTATACAATGAAAGATTGCCAAGGGAGCTGCGAATGACTATGACTCGAGTTTTAGGCAAGGATACGCCCCCTTCACCTCCAGTAGCTCGATCTGTTCCACCGAGTGGCAAAAAATTATGTTATATTTGTCCAACTAAAACAAAAAGACAAACTAAATACCGTTGCTGTGATTGTTCAAAGCCAATTTGCCTTCAGTGCTCTAAGCCACTGTGTGATAATTGTCAAACAAAGTTGTGATTTTGAAACTCTCTAGTTTTTAAGTTGACCAACGAATGTATCTCAATTTTCCTAGACTGATTAATGTTATTGTGAACTTTTAAAATGTATAATGTAAAATTTGAAAAAGTTGATTTTGTTATTTTTTTATGTCATAAATGTTTAAGAAGAAATTTATAGACTGATTTGTGTTAAGTAAATAAACCTTGTTTAATTTTGAAAATAGATATTGTTTTTTTTTTATTTCAATTAAATATAAAATATCAAAAGGCAAGAAATCTAACAAACATGAATAAATTAGCTGCATACTTTAATTCTACAAAAATATTTGCTGTTGAAATGGTGTCTGGTATACTACCACCTCAGTTGAATTGTAACAATTTAACCACGTCAGTTGCAGAGGGTTAATAAAAAAGCATCCGAAAATTGTGTCGTTCTTATGGTAAAAGCTTGTCAATTGAATCCAACAATAATTAGATTTTGCACTTAATAAGAGCTAATGAAGTTTAAATTCTAGGTTTTTTAACACCACTGAGATCTAAGTGTGGTTAATGAATGATTAACACGATACACTTATAATGGGCAAGACAAATCTATTAAAGTCAAGAGAGAAATTATAAAAGAGAACTTATGCCACAATTAATAAGGCACAAATACTAACTTTGTACAGTTTTGCGGTTCAATTTTAAGCTCTCTAGAGAATAACTATGCTACTCCTATTACTGTAATTTAACTGCTAAAATATTTATTACTTTCCTAAAGTTTACACTATATAGTATTTAGTTTCAGACATGTACTCTTTGGAGACGTTCAAATACCATATTTTAATATTTATTAGTGTTGTACGTCGAAAAGGTTTTTAATATGTTAAATATGTATATAGTTGGATTATAACTCTTATTACGCTATTATAAGAGTAAGTTTTGTTTAAATAGTTTTTAAATAATAATGCGATCTTTTTGTAATTTTAATTATTTATTACTTACTGATCCGGCAAACTTCTTTTTTTTCTGTTTTCGCCTTTTAAAGCTTCGCTGGACTTCCACAAACATTTCAATATCAAAATTAGCCAAATTGGTTCAACCGTTCTCGATTTTTAGTGAGACTAACGAACGGATATTCCTTTTTATTTATATAGAAGATTCTTAATCGTATTAGGTCTACTGCTAAAAAAAATGTTGGACGACTTAGAACTCACAATTAACATCAGTGAAATTTTTGAACTTGCCCGTCCCTCATTGACTGATTGCAGTTACAGGTCCCAATTTTGAATCCTAAAATTTACTTATCTGTAACAACAAAAATGATAATTAAACAAAAACACAAACAGCAAACACAATGACACTTAATAACAATTTTACACGATAGAACATAGATTAGAAATTGTCCAACGATTCTCTCTCTGAACAATCAGCTCACCCATTCCGTTCCCAGTAATGTAATTACACTGTGTCTCTGTTGTTCCCGAGGCGTTGCTACCTAGCTCGATTAATCTTCGTTTAGCTCAAGCAACGTGTAGATAATGAAATATTGGATAAGGATATGTCCTAGAATTATGATGTGTGGAGTATACAGTAGAATATCTTCCAAGTTTTCGGTGACCTTACTGCTATCCCCATATATAGTCTGGGAGAGTCATGCTTCGGCACGGAAAGGCCGGCTCGACCAAAGTGATACCACGGCCTCACAGAAAACCGACGTGAAACAACGCTTGCGTTGTGTTTCGTCGTGTGAGTAAGGTTACCGGAGGCCCAATTACACCCCTCCCTAGTCTCCCGAATCCACGAATTACTAAAAGACCAGTAACGCACTTGTAACGCCTTGGTGTTTCGGGTGTCCATGGGTGGCGCAGATTGCTTACCATTAGGTGATCCGTCTGCTCGTTTACCGTCTCATGCTATAATAGTTAATCTGGTGTCGGGATTTTAAGATATTTTTAAAAATGCATACATATCTTTGTTCAGCAGTTGCCGTCATTTAAAACTGCAACCAGCTATTATGGAGTAGATAGTAACATCCCCTACATTTTCACCTATGATCCCCAGGACTGGATTATGGTTTAGTAGGGGAAGGTTTTTGTACAGTACGAGGTCGTGAACGAATTTCAGTTCATGATGTCGACGTTCCCTGTAATATAACTGCACTGTCTGTTGTTCCCACTCATTGCTCCCTGACTCGATTAATCTTCGCTTATATGGCGCAAGATAATGAAATATTGAGGTGCTGTGTTCGTGTATTAAACGCCAAATCATGTTGTATTAGAGTATAGAATTGGTTTTGATGAATTTGTGTGAACTGTGGATAATGTTACGATATTTCCAGGTCGTTTCTTGGTCTTAACTGTGAAATATAATGTTGAAATCACGAAATTAATAGTCTTAAGTCAAACAGAATTTCACCATTATGAATTCATAGCTAGATTAGATAATAATACTTTCACTTCTAAAACAATAAACTTACTTGTAATGCAATCTTCATGATTTTACACGCACAGACGTCTCCTATTTCCATGTAGGAAATACAAGTCACAATATCACCACATTATAGTTAATAATATAACATAACATTATGCCTGTTATTCTAGACAGAGGCGCGCATTTATTACGGCACTTAATGCAGTGTACAAATGTAACACCCATTTTTCACTATTTATGAGTCCCATATAATAGGAGGTGAGACTATTGCCATATACCTACCGGGCATAATTCTTAACTCCGTAATACTACTGAGAATTTTTGACTCGAAACCTCTTGCCTAGCAGTCGCACTTGCGACCACTCGGCCAACGAGGCAATTATCTAGTTAATAATACACGAGAAAACTATAAACCAAACTATTAATAAACCTTTATCTTTAAACTTATTCCATTGCCGACCAAAGTTTTCCACTATGAATTAATCAAATAATCAAACTATAATTATTCTACTAAAATAGTTTTTAATAGCACAATGAAATAGACATTTATATTAAGTTCGAATACTGCATAAATTTACTATTTTAATACTTAATACTGAAAGGTCACTCATTTTAAGGTACTTAAATATTTGTTTTTTTATGACATAAGTCGGTAAACGAGCAGACGGATCACCTGATGTTACGCAATCGGCGTCGCCCATGGACACTCGGAACACCAAAGGCGTTACAAGTGCGTTACCGGCCTTTTGGGGATTAGGAGTTTGAGGATCGTTGGGGATTCAGGGATTGGGGAGATTGGGGAAGAGGAGGGTAATTGGGCCTCCGGTAACCACACTCACATGACGAAACACAACGCAAGCGTTGCTTCACGTCGGTTTTCTGTGAGGCCGTGGTATCACTCCAGTCGAGCCGACCCATTCGTGCCGAAGCATGGCTCTCCGACACTTAAAAATATCGAGCTGTTCCTGTCATTTTACAAAGAATTTGTAGAGATAGAACTATGCCTACTTAAACGCGACTTAAAGTTGAGTAGTCTTTCAGTATTCGGGCATAAGATTCATAAACTTACTTTTATGTTACTTTAAAACAGTTTTCAGAATTCATGATAGTCGTGACTTGTGTTCATAAGCCAACTAACTAGCATTTTGAACTTTTAAAGTAAGTTTTAGTTGATTTCTTAATGCTCACGTCTCACTGGTATAAAAGTGGCATGTATTACTGTTGATCACGCATTCCTTAGTTCATTAACCTTGCGGGGTAAATGAGGTATTTTACTTAAGTTTTCTATTTAGAAACTCATTAGAACTTTAAGTTTTTTTCACAGTTCATAATTCAGACATAACATAACACATAACATTACGTTTTTTTATCCCCGAGGGTAAGCAGAGGCGCACGTTATGCCACTGTACAATGTAACACCCACTTTTCACTATTTATGTTATGAATTTCATGTAATAGGGGGTGAGCCTATTGCCATATACAGGGCACAATTCCAGACTCCTTGCTACTACTGAGAATTTTTAAAAAACTGAGTAATACTTTACCCGACCCGATATCGAACCACCACTCGGCCAACGAAGCAGTCAATCATCAAAGTCAGATAATTCAGACAATCAATTTTTTTAAAGTGCCTACGTACTAAATTAAAATAAAGGTTTTATCGAAGTTATTTCTCCCATAGTGGTTTTACATAGTACGATAGCAGTTGTTTCGCATTATAATATAGAACTAAATACAATTTATTAAAGAGCTAGAATAAAGACTATAGGAGCGGGACTGTTTTATCATACCAGTGTCCTTTACGTAGCCAAACCAAGCACTGGTCCAATCACCAAACAAATATCAACATTATTCTACTGAAAATAAAGTAGAAGATAAATAAACTGCCTCAGAGAGTATCAAAGCGGACAGCCATGCGGTTAAGTTCTATTTACTTTGGACTTTATTTTTAGCTCAGTAACGTTGAGGTTGGCTTGACTGTGAGTAGCTTTTCCAGTCTGATGGTAAGGCCACAAGTAAATTGGAAGGTTTTTGTATGCATATAAGCACGGTGCTTGCGCCTGAATATATTAGGTTACAGATAAGTTTTACTACTTTGTACCGTATTTTCTGGTTGAGGTCTGTAATAACACTTTTTGAAGTAAAAAAATATGTATGTGTAAGTAATAGAATAACTATTTTTAAAATAAATATCGTGAGATATGTGAAAATGCTTAGAAATACTGGCAGGACGGTGTACGATATCGCCGCGACGACGATAAAAATCGCGGGTTACTCACGTGAATATACTGATGAATATACTGACTCGCAGGGCAAGTAGCTACACCGATGCTAGCGCCAACGCTACCTAGTAGGCTGCGCGACATCGCCGTGACCGCGTACGCTGCTCATGAGGAAGAACCCCCCCTATGGTTCGAAACGAGTAGACCTTTTCTCATTATTGTCACGTGTACTCACGTGATTTTTAGTTAATTTAGAATAACTATTCCAATTAATCGATAAAATAAACCGATTCACTTAGTGTAATTATTATTTGAAAT